TGCATCTCATCAATTGGCTGAGCATCCTTCCCAGGTGTACTGGTTTCGCTGGAATTCAGAAAGCTGTAGTGGGTCAGACCAGCAGCAGACCATCAAACAGTGACCATGACCCTTTTTTTGGTACAAGTTTGGCTTTGGAAAGTGCTTTGGAGCTTCTTCTTGGTCCAGCCACTAAGCTGATCATCACCCGTTGTCATATAAAATTCACTTTTCATTGCATGTCACAATCTGATTGAGAAATGATTCATTGTTGTTGCACAGAATAAGAGAAGATGACACTTCAAAATGACACTTCTTTTTGATTTGTGATTAGCTCATAAGGCACCCACTTATATTGAACTTTTTCACTTTTCTGATTTGCTCCAAATGCTGAATGACCATAGAATGGTCAGTGTTGAGTTCTTGGGCAACTTCCCATGTAGTTGTAAGAGGATCAGCTTTGATGATTCAGTTGGTCATTGTCAACTTTCGATGACAGGCCACCGCACTCCTCATATTCAAGGCTCCTGTCTCCTTTGCAAAACTTCTTGAACCACCACTGCACTGTATATTAGCAGTTCCTGGGAGAAATGTGTTGTTGACCTTGCAAGTTGTCTGTGCTGCTTTATGACCTATTTTGAACTTGAATAAGAAAATCACTTGAATTTGCTTTTTTTTGTCTAACATTTTCATAGTTTAAAATATAAATAAAATACATAGCAAGTAATAATTCATTAGCAAAAAACATAGAGCAAGAAATGTGCATTAAAATGATGAATAACATAACCACATTTAAGAATATATTCCAATATCAAATGGCAGATTTCAGCAGTGCAAAACCACAATTACTTTGGCGCCAACCTTGTAATTTGTTGCTGTTGTTGTTTAGTCTCTAAGTCGTGTCCAGCTTTTTCATGAACCCATGGACTGTAGTCTGCCAGGCTCCTCTGTCCATGGAATTCTCCAAGAATACTGGAGTGTGTTATCATTTCCTCCTCCAGGGGATCTTCCCAACCCAGGGATCAAACCCACATCTCTTGTGTCTCCTGCATGGGCAGGCAGATTCTTTACCACTAGAACCACCTGGGGAACCCAGTCCCTGTCATGTCTCCATTTAATTAGCCAGTCTGGCCCCTGCAGAAACTAACTGGATGGATCCTGGAGAATGACTGCAGACTATTGCAAGCTTTAGCAAGTAACAGCTTTAATCACACCTGCTGTGCTGGGCATAATATTATTGCTAGAGCAGATTAATAAGGCATCAAGATATGGTGTATGGCCAGTGATTTGTTGAATGAATTATTTTCCATTCTAATCATCATCAGAAAAGGTTCACATGCATGTAGGAGAAATAGTAATACTTATGTATAGTTTTGCCTCAAGGGTAAGTTAACTCTGTCCTCTGTCATAGTATAGTCAAAAGACACCTGGACCACCTGCACAATTCATAGAGTATCACATTGACACATAACATAGATGATATTATGCTGGGCAGACAAGTGCAAACAAGAGGTGGCTAGTATGCTGGAGACATTGGTAAGCCCCATGCTCCAGAGAGTAGAAAAATGATGCAAAGATTCAAGGATTTGTCACTTCAGTGAAGTTTTTAAGGGTCCATCCTTCCACATAAAAAACAAATTGTTGCATCTTGCATCCCCTACCACAAAGAGTGCACAGGGCTTGGTATCTCTCTTCATCTTCTGGGGCAGTATATTCCATATCTGGGAATACTTCTCCAGCTTATATACTAGGTAACAGAAGATTTCCAGCTTTGAGACCCAGAACAGAAGGGCTCTTCAGATGGCCCAGTCTCCTATACAAGCATCTCTGTCACTTTGGCCGTATATTCCAGTAGACTCTTGTATTAGTGGGGTCAAAAGTGGGAAAAGATGCAGTTTGGAGCTTGTGATGGTTAACTTTGTGTCAACTCGACTGGGCCATGGAGTACCCAAATAATTTGGTCAAACATCTGGGTGTGTCTGAGGTGGAGTGGGGGTTTGTTTCTGGATGAGATTAACATAGGGTTGATAGAATGAGTAAAGCAGATTGCCCTGTCTAATGTGGGTGGACCACATCCTATCAATTTAAGACCTGAATAGAACCCAAAAAAACTGAGTAAAAGGGAATTACAACTGCCCGACTGTATAGCTAGGACACTGGTCTTTTCTAGCCTTCAGACTTGGACAGAAACCTTGTCTCTTCTTGGATCTTGAGCTTGCCAACTTCAGACTGGAACTTACACCATAGGTGTTCTGGTTCTCAAGCCTTTGAACTCAGACTGGACATGAACGTTGCCTCTCCTAGGTCATCAGCTTGCTGACTGCAGGTCTTGGGACTTCTCAGCATCTGTAATCACATGAGCCAGTTCCTTATAATAAATTTACATCTATATCTAACTCCTATTCTGTTTCTCTGGAGGATCCTGACTAATACAGATATGAGCAGTGGAGTACAGCTGTAACAAGTAACTAAAATGCAGAAACAGCTTTGGACCTGGATAAGGGGTAAAGGCTGGAATAATTTTAAGTTACATGCTAGAAATATGGACATTAAGGGAAAATCTAGTGAGATCTCAGATGGAAATGAGGAACATGTTACTGGAACCTGAAGGAAAGGTGATTTCTGTTACAAAATGGTAAAGAACTTGGCCGAATTGTGTCCTAGTGTTTTGTGGAAGGTAGAATTTGAGTGATAAAATTGAATATTCAGCTAAGGAGATTTCTAAGCCAAGTGCTGAAGGAAGGGCTTGGTCTTACTTTATTACTTAGAGTAAAACATGAAAGGAGAGAGGTGAATTAAAGAAAGAATTGTTAAGCAAAGAGAAACTAGAACTTGATGACTTAGAAGACTCTCAGCCTACCCATATTGCAAAAAATGAGAAAATGTGTTTGAATGAAAAAACCAACAGTGTTACTAGATTATTACTTGAAAAGGAGTATATGGGATTTCATGACCAGAAACACTGCCAATTTGAACTGAAGAGGACAGAGATGGGAAAAAAGAAAGGACGGCTGTTGGATGTATTGAATTGGACAGGACAGAATAATAGATGATCATCAGGGCCACTGCCTCAGTTTTGACAGGCAGGTGGCTTCTGCCTGAAGCCTTGGGAGTGATGCTGCCACCCCCTTGGACCTGGGCAGCAGAGCACTGAGCAGAGAATTACTCTCAAACCTTAGGGTCTAATGGAATTCTTCTCACTAGATTCTGAACTTTCTTACGACCCATCACTCCTTCCTTCTTTCCTGTTTCTTTCTTTTAGGATGGGAATGCCTATCCTATATGCCTGCCCCCTTTCCCCACATTGTATTTTGGGAACACATAACTTGTCTGATTTTACAGATTCACAGCTGGAGAGGAATTTTGCTGCAGGATCAATCATACCTTGAGACTCACTATATCTGATCTAGATAATATTTAGAGGAGGCTTTTCAGTTGATGCTAGAATGAGTTAAGACTTTGGGAGCTATTGGGATGGAGTGAATGTGTTTTGCATGCAAGAATGACATGAATTTTAGGGGGCCAGGGTGGAATGTTATGGACTGAATTTGTCCCCATCCCCATTCACATGTTGAAGCCCTAACTCCCAACGTGATGGTGAAGAAGAGACACCAGATAGCACTCTCCCTGGCCGCCCCCACCCCCCATGAGGGCAGAGTGAGAATGAGAAGGTGACTGTCTCCAAATCAGGAAGAAGGATCACATCAGACCCTGAACATGCTGGCACGATGATCTGAGACTTCCAGCCTCCAAAACTGTCAAAAAACAAATTCCAGCTGTTTAAACCACCCAGTCTATGGTATTCCATTATAACAGCCCAAACTGAATTAAGACAGAACTTATTGTAAGCCTCAGTGGAAAAATCAAATTGCAGTCCCTGGGACTTGAGCAGAGCCATTCCCTCTGTAGCAGAAAATTACCTAAGTTTTAAGAAACAACTCCTAGTGTGATACTGCACCTTGGTAGAAATCAAACACTTAACCATGGGACTCCAAGTGACCATGTGCCCAGAACTGCCCGTTATGGTCTGGGTTCTCTTGGTGTTCAGATGGACCCAGTAGCATTTATTATAAGATGGAAATAGTACATCTGAGATGGAGCTCAAGCACAATTGAGATACTTTTAAGCTGCAGGACCAAGTAATCCAGACTCCCATGTCACCCGCCATAGCTGCACCAACAGCTGACCAGCTGAAGGAGGAGGGATAAAGGCTGAGTTTGGCTTATGGATGAGTCAGCTTAGTATGTGGGTGTAAGCCAAAATTAGATAGTGGCTCCTTTATAGCCACAATTGATAGGCTTTGAAAAATAGAGAAGAAGAAAAATCTTCCTAATGGGTAGAGTTACAAGCATTGTCCCTGGTCATTTGGTTTGTATATTAGGAGAAGCGGACTGAAGTAAATATATATAGATGCTTGGGCATATGTCAGTGGCCTGGCTCGATGGTAGGGGGGCTGGGAAGAAAAAGGCCTGAAAGATCAAAGACAAGAAGGTCTAGGGTAGAGTCTTGTGGGTAGATATACAGGAGTGGGCATAAATTGTGAAGATCTTTGTAACACATTTTGCACTTGCCAAGGAAAAGGTAATAAACAATGAAGTAGAGAGAATAACTCATCCAATTGTCATTACCAACCTTAATCATTGGCTACCTTGGAACCAGTCTGATGGGCACTATTGTAGGTTATATTGTATCCTCCCCCCCATTTTTTTTTTTTTGAACCACCACACCATAATTTTATTTAGAAACACTGAGCAAGTTTTTACTCAAATGAGTGTGGAAACTCAGTGAATATTTATGTCTTAATTGTACCAAAAATAAAACACTTAAAAACAACCATTTGAACGTCAGGGTCTGCCACCGTAAGTGCCTCCACCTACCTGTGCCCCGGCCTGCAGTGCTGGAGAAGGGCTGGGGGGCCCACCTGACGTCAGCCGCTGAGTCCTGGGAGCGCCGACCTGGGACCTGGGCCCGGCCCACACGTGATGGCCTCCCAGGAGGAGCAGACAGCATAGGCATCCACCTTAAGGATCCGCGTTCCGAGACGGCTCCACGATACTCAAGCAGCAGTCCACAAACTCCACAAACGGGTTCCTGCATGCAGCCTGCATAAGCTTGGCCTTGTCGTCCACCTGATTGAGGTCAACCATCAACTGTCTAAGGTGCGGGTTGAGCATTAAGCGCCTCAGTGCTGCAGACTCCCCTAAATTCTTTAAATTCTGCAAAGACACTCTGTTCTCTTCCTCTTCACTATTAAAATCAGCCACAGAGTCGTCATCATCATTTTCCACAGGCTTTTTAGTTTTTGCAGTAAGAGCTGATTTCATTTTTTTTCTCAACAGGACCAGTTGCACGCTTGCACTGCTCTTTGTGCTTCCGAAAGCGGGGCAAGGAGCAGTGCGGCACGCGGCAGGCGGGGCAGCGGTGTTTGGGCTTCTCCAAACAGGTAACGCAGCAGAGGGCGGTACAGCAGCTGAGCGACGCCATGGTCTCTCCCAGGATGCGCTCCCCGCCTGCCTCCTCCCCTAGTTTATACGTTAAAGTTCTAATCCCCAGTACCTCACAATGTGACATCTGGAAATAGGGTTCTTACAGATGTAATTAGTTAAAATGACATCATAACTGCAGTAAGATGGGCCCTAATTCAATGTGACTGGTATCCTTATAAGCAGAAGGCCATATGAAGACAGAGACACACAAGGAAATGCCACGTGAAGATAAAAACAGAGATGAGGGTGATGCAGTAGAAACCAAGGAATGCCAAATATTGCCAGCAAACCACTAGAAGCTAGGGGTGAGAACATGGAACAGGTTTTCCCTCACGACCCTTAGAAGGACTCAAGCCTACTGACACCTTAATCTCAGACTTCTAGCCTCCGGAATGTGAGACTATATTTCTATTGTTTAGGACTTACCTGATGGTACAGTGGATAAGAATCCACCTGCCAATGCAGGGAACATGGATTTAATCCCTGATCCAGGAAGATTCCACATGCCCTGGAGCAACTAAGGGTGTGCACCACAACTGCTGAAGACCCAGTGAGCCAAAAATAAATGAATGAATAAATAAATAATTTTAAAAATTATTTAAACATACATTTTTGTTGTTTAAATCACTTTGGTAACACAGCCCTAAGAAACTAATGCAGGCACACAAATGGTGTGCCCACAGTGGTAGAGATAAAAGCTAACTCCTGAAGTGGGTTGCCATTTCCTTCTCCAGGGGATCTTCCCAACCCAGGTATTGAACCTGGGGCACCCACATTGCAGGCAGACTCTTTACCAAGTGAGCCACCATGGAAGACAGAAGCTAGCTGTGGGCCCATAAAGCTTGGACTCCAAGTTTTTAAGACCAGTCTAGCTGCTGATGCCTAAATGCCCAACATAGCAATAGAGACCAATGCTGAGCCCCCAGTTTGGATCTATTACTCAAGGAAACAGTTGGCTACTTGGTGACAAGTTAACTACATTGGGTTCCTTCCATTCTGGAGGGGCCAATAGTTTGTTTTTATGATAACTGTATTGGGGTTTGTGGAATGTCCAATCCACAGGCATAGAATCCTGCATAACGGTAGCATCCAAACAGGGCAACTGTTTCATGTAAAAAAGTGCGAGAGTGGACCTATGACCTCATCAGTTACACACCAATCAGTAAAAGCTGACCTGATAAAAGAGTTAGAATGACATTTCTAAAGGTTCAAGTGAAATGCTAGTCAGTGGAAACTCTGAAAAAGCAAGATGCTATCATCCAGGATATATTATACACATTAAATCCTGGCCTTTATGAACCTGGTAGGAAAAATACATGGATCCACTAACCAAAGAGTGGATGCAGAAATAGCTCCACTTACCTTTACTACCAGTGACCCACTAGTGGATTTTGTGTTTCCAATACCCACAAATCTGGAATATGTAGGATTGGAGGTACTGATCCCCAAAGGGATTACACTCCTGTTAAGGGTCATAACAAAGGTTCTGTTGAACTATGAGCTATGATTGCACCAGGGCACTTTGAATTCATTATTCAAGGGACCAGTAGATGAAAAGAGAAGTCACCATCATGCCAGGGAAAACTGACCCTGATCAGTAGAAGGTATCACTGCTTTTTACAGATTCTATGTGATCCACTTGGGCATCTCCTGATACTCCCTTTCCTCACTGTAACTGTAAACACATGCAGCAACTCTGACCTAAGAAGGATGCGGTTACTAGGAGTTCAGTCTCTGCAGAAATAGAAGTTTGAACCACACCACCCCATAAGCCACCAAGACCTGCTAAGTTGGTAACTGAGGGTGAGAAGAATTTAGAGTAGGTAGTGGAAAAGGGAGAGAATAAGTATCAATCGTGGCCTCCAGGCCAGTTTCTGTAGTTCATTCCACTAATCTTCCTCTTCCAAGTTTCTCTTCAGGAAGAGAGGTCCATGGAAACCATGGAAGAGCTTTCCCCCAAACCAGCAAGAAGTAGATCTTTGGGGAAAGGAGTGGATTGTGGTGTTTCTGAAAAATGGGCCACCGGATTTCCTGCTGTGGTACACAGTTAACTGATGACCTCAAATATTGATGTAGATCCGCCAATGTGTTCATAACTGAGGCCACACTTCCCACAACCTACTCCTAGCTAATGACAGCATGGTGGAGTAATAATGCAAGCTTACTCCTTCCAGACTTGAGACTTCTCCAGTGGGCCACTTTAGCTAGAGAACTACTGTCAGAATTCAGTGTGGATGGAAATTTAGAAAAAGGCAATTTATGTAAAGACAGTTTAAAAAGGAAATAAAGATAAAATCAGAAATAGCAAAAAAACGAGAGAAAATCAACAAGGCAAAACTTATTAATCTTCAAAAAGACTTAAGTGAGTCAACTCTTAGACTAATCAAAGAAGAATTTTAGAGAATACATTACCAATATCAACAATAAAAAAGGGGCATCACCACAGGTCCTATAGACATTAAAAATGTAAGAGAATACATCTTTATACCAATTAATTTGGCAATTCAGATGAAGTGGAAATTTATTGAAAAATAAAACATCAAAACTGAAACAATGAAAAGAAAATTCTATATTTTCTATTTTAAGGGAATTGAATTCATAATTCAAAACCTTTCTACAAAAAATATGCCAGATGGCTTCTCTGGTGAATTTTTTCCAACATGTCTATTTCTTTCAGAAAGGCATAAAAGGCATATTCACACTTTCTTATGCTTATATATCACACTCTATTTGTGGATTAACTTCCCCCTGCTCCATGCCTCATTCATTTAGCACCTTCTATGCATTATGTTAAGAGTTGTAGATAAGAAGATGAATAAAGCTTTTGGCAGAGGGAGCTTTCAGGTTGGTGGAAGAAGCAGACATATAATGTAAATGCAGTGAAATAAGTGCTAATGAAGATTTTTATAAAGTACTATGAAAGATGGGTATGAATCCAGGGAAGGAAATGCTTTACAGGCATGAGAAGTGAAACAATATGCCATGTGCTGTGAGCATAAAAATAGCTGGAAAATAAGGGATATTCTTTCTCAATCTTCCTTACTTGATCTACTCCCCTTATTTCCCCTAATTTTTGACACCTGTGGCTATTCCCTGGCTTATGATTTTCATTCATCCCAATTTCTTTTAGTCTCACATTTTCCCCTTTCATATTTAGGTTTTTTTTTAATTGTTTTATTTTATTTATTGGACACACAGCATGTGGGATCTTAGTTCCCCAACCAGGGATAGAACCCATGCTCCCTCCATTGGGAGCTCAGAGTTTAACCACTGGACCACGAGGGAATCCCCCTCATATTTAGTGTAATCATTCCAAAATCTGTATCTCTAACCTTTACCTATCTCTTGAGCTCCAGGCCTAAATATCCAGAGAACTCACCTACTCACCTACAGTCTTCCCTCCCTTCTTGAAGAAACCCTCCTTAGACAGCATATGTCTCTTTAGCTACTGCACTACTTTTCTGCTCTTTATGTAGAGAATCTTCTCACTTTCTTTTTATCTACTATATATTAACCTTTTGTGATACTTAAAACCTTTTATCCGTATTACTTCTCAGACTTCTCTTATCAAGGTCACCAATAACTTTCGTGTTGCCAAATCCAGTTCTCAAACTACTTGACCTAATAGCAATATTTAAGCAGTTGATTATTTCCTGTTTCTTAAAAGACTACCTTTACCTGGCTTCTATCCTTTACTGATTTTCTTCCCACCTGACTGGACACTCCTTCTCAGTCTCTTTGTTAGATCTTCCTTCTTTTCTCAACCTTTAAGCCTTAGAGTATTCTACTGTTCCATCCTTGGACTTCTCCTCAGCTTTTGCTTATACTCATTTTAACCAATTCTGTCATCTTAAATATCATTTATATGCCAATAAATAAAAATATATATATCTTAACCTTTCCCCTGAACTCCAGATTCATATCTCCAATAGCTACTTTACTTGGGAGTCTAATAGCATTCCAAACTAAACATGTCTAAAAATCGAATTCTTGACTTCCTGTCTATCAATCTTTTCCATCTCAGTAAATGGCTCAGTGATTCATCCTGTTGTTCATGCCAGAAACATTGGGGTCATTGTTGACTCCTTTCTTTTGCTGCTGCTGCTGCTGCTGCTAAGTCGCTTCAGTCGTGTCCGACTCTGTGTGACCCCATAGACAGCAGCCCACCAGGCTCTGCCATCCCTGGGATTCCCCAGGCAATAACACTGGAGTAGGTTGCCATTTCCGTCTCCAATGCATGAAAGTGAAAAGTGAAAGTGAAGTCGTTCAGTCGTGTCTGACTCTTCACAACCCCATGGACTGCAGCCTACCAGGCTCCTCCATCCATGGGATTTTTCAGGCAAGAGCACTGGAGTGGGGTGCCATTGCCTTTTCCGTCCTTTTCTGCTACACTCATTTAATCCATCAACACATTGCATCAGCTCTGCCTTCAAAATATAAACCAAACTGATCAGTTATCACCAACTTGATCACTATTTCTCTAGTCCAGACTGCCATCATCTCTCACCCAGATCCCTTCCTTCTAACTGGCTACCCAGCTTCCACACTTGTCCCACTGTAGTCTTCTGGGTGTGATTTTTTACAGTATAAGTTAGGATATGCCACTCCCTATTCCAAAACCCTCCAATGATTCACATCACACTTAAAACCCAAGGTTTTTTCCATGATCTATGTGCCTCTTGCTATATTCTGACCTTATCTTCTTCCATTCTCCCCTTCCTTTTTTTTTTTTTTTTGTACTTCAATCACACTAGTTTCATTGTTTTTCCTTAGACATATGAGAAGAACATTCTCATCTCTGGACTTTTGTACTTGCTGTTCACTCTACCTAAAATACTCTTTCTCCAGATATTCACATGGCTCATTTCTCTGTTCAGATGTCACCCCCTCACAGGGACCACTTCATCTAAAATAACTCTCTCCTTCATTTGCTGGGATTTTACTCTGCTCTATTTTCTTTCACAGCTTGTAGCATGACAGGGATTGTGTCATGTATGC